TGCAACAGATTAATGCCACCAACAAATCTACAGGGAAAGCAACTGAGTCAGAGTGGCATCTGAGCTTCTCAGAAAGCCTACATCCAGTCTATATCCTTGGCTCATCTATCCATACTGTGAGCACAACATGTGGCTGTATCAATGTTACCGTATCATATGATCTCTCCAATGACTAGTCCATAGAAAATTTAATCCTTCTATGTGCAAGTAATATGGCTAATCTGTAATCCTCCCTAGCAGAGGTCTGTATTGAGGGTTCAAGGTTCAAATTCTCTTCTGCATGAGGTTATTTTGCTATCCTTGCACATAAAGTAATGGATTCTTGTCTATTTGCTTGCAAAAATGACAGGAAATAATAGACCCAAATCCATCTCAAAATAATATTCTTTAATATAGTCCCCATCAAATAGGAAAATACAGATTTGAAATCACCAGTGCAGCCTTAATTCTGCTATATTATTCATTTATGTTACCAAGCCACCATTAATTACTGACATCTTAGGTTTTTTTCACCAATGTGTCCTTCAGTCAACTGGGTGAATGGTATTGGGAATAAATAGTGTAGAAAATTAGGCTCTTGTTTGTAGTATCCCTATCTCATATTTGTTGCCCTTGGTATATAAATAAAATTGTTTTAATGTAAGATTTGGGACTACTTATTGTAATTTTATGTAAAGTAGATAGCTCTTTTAATCTTGAAAAAAAGGCCAGAGGCAGCCCTTGATTGGACCCAGTTTGACCTTCCCTATATACTGTAATTCAAAGAGACACATGACACCCAGTGGTTATTAGATATAATGCAGGAATGCAGAAGCCGTGGAGAATGTGAAGATACTTATCATTGTTCTCAGGTTCACAAAATTAAGATGCAACAGAAAAAAATGAAGACACTGGACAAATTACAATACATATAAAACAGTTGACAGAGATGGCCTTATCAGACTTGACACTGACGATACTGACAACAAGAAAAGCTCCCAAAGCAACTATCAACATTTGAAATACAAACCCAAATGATTTCTGATCTCCTCAAAAACATGACATTTATCCTACTTTGGAGTAAACGGTAGCTCCTTTGTGACACTATAAATCCTATAGATTTCTCCATCGGAAAATAACAATATCATGAGGTGATTTCCCTGAGGGCACTGCACCAATTAAGTAGATCCATCCTTCCACACCCTGTTAGCTTTCCACATGCTGCAGGCTTTATCAAAGACAGAGAGAGATGGTAACTGTGCTGGGGAAGTGAGGTAGTATGAAAGCACATGACACCCTCCAAAGTACTCTGACCTGCTGAAATGATCTGATGCTGTACAGATGAAAAGCAGTTTCTGGGCCTGCTCTTCTGCATAGCTTCCCCAAATCCTCAGCTGGCCCAAGAGTCTACCAGTGTCTAAGGGGTATTAAATCCACCTTTCTTCTCCTCCAACATAATATGGTACAGAAGAGCGTATAGAGCATCAAAGGTGCTTTATTCTTGATATGCCATCTCTACAAATCATTTGTTAATGTTAAATTATCATCATACTGCTTTCCCTTAATTTGGAGACATTTATGGTAAAGATAAAGTTACAGATTGATACAAGATTCTGAAAGGTATGTACTTTGAAAAGGAAACAGCTAGATAAAGTTGAAATGTAGAAGAAAAGCCATTGCTAAAACACCTTCATTAGAGAAAAATCTTGTGAACTCAACTGCTGGGTGAAATTCTATACCTGTGATAGCCTATAGGTCAGAGCAAGTGATCACACAGTATTTCCTTGATGCTTTGATATTTATTAAATATTAATTATTAACCCACATGCTGAATGTCCTTTCAAACAGATCTTGAGTTTTAATATAGTTTTAATGTCCAACAACACAGCTAACACCAAAATAAAAGGAAACACATTTGAGATTTAGTGTCCCTCTGCTGAAAGATGAAGCAAATACTTTATCCACAAGCATTAATTCTTTGGTTGAGACCAAAGAAAACTTAGCAACGCTTGAACAATATTCTTCTCCTAATGCATTAAAATAACAAAAAATAGATAATAGAAGGAACAAAGATATCTGTATCAACATACCATAAAAGTTAGACTTTGTTCAATAAAGTGAAATGAATAAAGCTATTTATTTGCAGACTAACTTAATGTAATGCAATATCGACTAAACTGTATTTTGCGGGTAATAGCAAAATAAACTGGTGAGGATATGAAGAAAAAGATTGAGTACACAGTGTTTTCAGACAAACACCTAACCTCTCCAGTTCAGACAATGCATAATGAAACCACGCTCTTCTTCTAACCTGGCTATGCTTTACTTCCTAAGTTTGCCAAACATTTCTTTCTACTGCTGTTAGGACAAAAGATTCTCTGTACCATAGGCATTTATGAAGCCCATGCATCAACACCTTTATTAATTGTTCAGCAACCACACAAGATCTATTATTTAACTGCCTCATTGTATAAATACATGCTGTTGTCCCTCTGAAGGCATGAAAGATGATTTCTGCATCTTCTCCTGGAAGAGATTCAACACTTTATTTTTTTTTTAGTGAAAGTGTTTAGGTGAGTAAACTGCACGTTTACTCAGCTTATGTGAGTAAATATGTTGACTGCATGTTTACTCACCGAAAATGAGTAAACATGCAGTCATACTTTACCCATATTCTTTTCACTCTCTCTTCTCCTGCTGTATGACCAGAAGAAACAGGGAAGTGAACAAAAAAGTAATACTTGCTGAAGTGATCACCATTAGGATAAACAAACAAACCACAGTGCAACACATGAAAAAAAAGGAAAACATCCTATTGCCACTGAAAACATAGTAAACCAGAACTTGTATTAATGAAGAATCAAATGAAAGGAAAAGGGAGAGAAAGGGCGACAGCAGAGATATTATTAAAATAATTTTAAAAAGTGTATTTTGGAGCAGGAGAATTCAGGTGATAATGCTCAATAAAACCTAAGGTTTAATTCAACTGAATTCAAGGAGAATTCAGGTGATTAAGATTTAGTGTATTTAAAACAGAGGTTTACCTTGGCTACCCAAAAAAACTTCTCCATCAAACAGTACAGCATTTCAGTTCTCCTACCAGCTGCCCCTTGGATGAAGGCCTGGTATCACAAATTCCAAATCTTTTCTCAATCACCTCAACTGAACGGCAGGTTATCTGTCCCAAATACAGACTGTTCACTCTCTCATGAGCTGTTTTCAGTGAGCACCCACGCTCCACATCTGAAAAATCTGGTCTCTTTGGAGATAAGTAAGGGTTGTTTCTGAGGATAAGACAACCGGGACCCGGCCTGAGCAAGTATCATGATGCAATGGCATCCTGAGTATGCTTTTGCTCAGTACTGAAACCTCCTGAGCAGTAAGGGATCCAAATCCACAGTCTAGAGATCACACATCTCACAGTACTGTTCAGACTAACTCAGAGCCAACTTTGGTATTTGAATACTCAGAACTACATCCTAGGAGTATGTGCTCTCCCACAGCACTTCAGATGATTTGGAGTGGAATCCATTCTGTGTCACAATTTCAAAAAGACAGTGTCATTTCACCTAATCCTGGACATTTTCCTTTTGCATTTGATAGCTTTTTTATGAGACTATGCTGAGAGTAAAGGCCCTTCTCTTTTTCACACAGGGATTTATGAAATCATGTTGATCTTTCTACTCAGTGTGTTTCACGTTCTTTAACAAGGCCATGATAACAATGGATTCTTTCGTTCATTTTTTGTTCAGGAAATTCACTGTGTCTTTGCTCAGCCCTTTCACACAGCCTTTCAGTTTTCCCTAATGAAATGGCTTTCATGTCTGAATGCAAAATTCTGAGACTTTTGGGTGCAGTTCTCAGAACAAAAATAGCTATTCAAGTTGTATTCATTGAACCAGAGGATTCACTTCATCTTACTTATTTGCCCTTGGTTTATATGCAGTTCATGGAAAGCAAATCTACATTATTTCTTTCACTATCTCATATTTACTAGCCACGTAGAAGGCTATCCTTTACTCATAACAACTCCTCCTTCTGACGTGTTTTTCCTCTTTGAAACAAGTTGAAAGCTTCTCGATCTCCTTGGTGCTGCTTTCCTCATTTTGTAAGAGGCTATGAGCATCTTAAGTTTTTTGCTGTCATCTCTCATTCCTGGAGTGAGAAAAGCTCTACAAAACACTAAACTTCTCTGTAGCGACGGACTGTATCCCCTTGCACAGTATCTAGACAGATCAAGACTACCCCAACCTCCGCCTCTGACCATGGCGCCCGATTACCTCAGACGCACACGCCAACCCCTGTGCGCCTGCGCGCCGAGGGGACCATGGCAGCCGGCTTTCCCCTTCCGGGGTGATGCTGTCTAGGCGCTGAGGAGGTTTGTGCGCCATGGTAGGCTGCTGCGCATGCGCGGCTGGCGGGGCTAGCGATGTGGCGGACTGAAGGCAGGTGAGGGGTGGTTTGGTGCGGGGGGAGGTGGCCGTGAGGGATTCGTGGTTCCTGTGGGGCCTGCCGCCCACTTCGCCTCGCTGTGTGGCGGGGCGGGGGCTCGGCCCCCAAAGCTGGTGTCCCGGTCCCCAAAGCTGGTGTCCCGGTCCGCCTGAGCGGAGGCCTCTCTGTCCGCCAGGTCCAGTGCGAGGGCGTCCTGTCGGCATAGCCTTGCGTACGGGCGAAGCCCCGGGAGGGCGGTCGGGTAGGGTCAGCTCCCGCAGCTGTGCCGGAAAGGAGGGCCCTAGGCGTCGGGGATGGCGCCCGGTGCTTCCTGCCGGTGCTCCTGCCTGCCGGTCGGGCAGCTTGGCAGGAGCGATCCTACGTCCGCGTCTGGAGAGAGTGGCCCTTCTGGTTGGTTTGTTTTCGGTTGTGGTTTTGTCGCTGTTTTGATTTATTTTCCATAAGGGAAGAGAAGACGATGTGCCAACCCCTTCCCAAAGGTTCCCTAGCAGATGGTGTGTTCTTACCCTACTTATTTCTAACCCTCCTTCTGGCTTTAGTGCTTAGTTTTTTGGAGATTAGCATCAATATATACCACGTTATTTAAAAATAACATTTTGGAAAGGTCTAAGTAACAAAAGCATGGATCGGGACTTAAACCTTACCTTAAGATTCATTTTCCATTCCAGGGATAGCATTTAGTTTGCTCTTATGTAGTTACCTTTGCTCCATACCTGTTAGCAGGTGTGACTGAAGATGGAAAGTAAAAATGATGCAAGTAGCTACTGAGGAAATTCCCTTCCACTGGCCATTATCCTCTTTTTCTTGTAGTAACATAGACAGTTGCCCTACAAGCTCAGCACTACATCTAACATATAGAATTCATTACTGGAGGTGCCAGGGCTTGAGTTCTTGGAGCAGAATAACAACCAGTTGTCAGGACCTTAGGAAGAAACTTGCTTTTCAGGGTGGGTTATTCCAGAATGCCAGCTGCAATGTCATTTGTAGTAGCTTGCACTGGATATAACTGTTAATGGACTGCTGGTCTGACTGATGCAGACTCCTGGGTTACCGTAGTTGCAGTTTAAATAAATGTACAACTCTAACATGAGGTAGAACTTCAAAGGGTTGTTTTATAGGAAAATAATTTCTACAAATATTAAAAGTTATTTCTGCACTTCATTCTGTCATTTGTCTGTTGGCCAGCTACCTTCTTTAATAGAAGCAGAACCTTTGCTCTCTCTTACTATACTCTGCCTGCCCTCAGGAAGCATTGGAACGTTGTGGCAAGTCTGTAGTATGGGAGGCCACAATGTAACTATACATTTTCATAGCTTTTATTTTCAGCTTTCCAGTGTTCTCATTCTGGGTGTGGGAAGAAGAGGGCATTTCCCCATAGGAGTGCATTGCAGGTATCGTATGTGTTGTGCTTTTAGCAGTATGGATTTCTTTAGCCCCAGCATGTTCTCTAATCACTTGCTTTCTTGTGATGACTTACTTTACTCTTGAGGGTGAAACAGACTGTATTAACAAAGCCACAGCTTTGCAGGTTCATCTGTTTGTTGTGTGGGCTTCACCCAGCACAGTTGACTTGTTCTGGGATGCAGTCCCTGAGATAGCTAATTTTTTTGAGATAAAAGTTGCCTGAGTAACTTTAAATTCTTGAGGGGAAAAAAAAAAAGTTGTTTATAAATAGCCTTTGGCCTTTAGTTTGTTTTGCCTTTTTTTTAGGGGTGGAGAAACATGTCTAGTACAGTAATTTTATATCTACATTTCATTCTTTGGAAAATCTGAGATATTTCTGGCGTGAAAGTCTCCAATTAGCTCACTGGCAGTGTAAAAAGAAATAAGTAACTATACCACTTGATTTAGAGGGGCATTGATTTAATTACAGATAACAACCACATGCTTTCTAGCTGCTACTTTATCTTGATTACCCATGTTGTTGAGCTTAGGCATTATGTCTTTGGCAGATCAAGAAGTTGCCTTCCTATTTCCCAAGTTTTGTGTGTACATTAAGGAATTATTACCTTGTCTGATAGAATTCATAATGGAGTTAGAAATTACTTGCTCATTGTGCTCTCCAGATGAATCTATCATGTACTTTACTCAGTGTAAGTATTACACGATTCTGCTTCAGGTGCTTCAGTCAGATTGACTGACCTGTACTATACTCTGACTTGCTCAACCAACTGAAGAAAGGACCTGAATGTGAGAGGTGCATCCATGTCTTCAGTACTTCTGAAATACCTTTGATTCATGGATGGCATTCACAGCAGTAGGAAAAAATAAAGATTTTTTAAATATCTAGTTTATTTCTGCTTTATTTAATTTCTTCCTTCCTATGCCTTAGTTTTTTTGGCAATTTTTAACCTACCCTAAAGGGCTTAACAGTTGTACCCTGTTCTCTTGTAGTTGATGTAGAAATCCATGAAAGATCAGGTCATGGAAACTTTCCCAAAACTTAAAAAATCAGCCTAAGGGAGATGAAAAATTTCAGTCTGGATAATTCTACAATGTAAAGTGTTAGTTGATACACAGATTTGTTGCCCATCTTTTCTACTCTGTAATGTGTTATTAAGCATGCATAGTTTAGGGAATTTTGCAGGGAATAAACTCTTTTTTCATTGGCAAGCGTTGCTAATCTAAATGTGTGAGAAACAGCAAATGTGAAGCTGGGAGTTTAATAGAATTCTACAGATTGTTTAACAGATACAGGAAACCTTTGATAACCAGTTTTCTATAAGGACAACTATGGCTCCCTTTGTTGTCTTATACTGGTGGAACTTTCCTTGGATTCAGAGAAAGGCCCTTTTTATTCTTAACTGTTTTGTAGTTCTTCAATGGAAAAAGTGTTAAAAACCAGCTGTGGCACTATGGAAGCATGGAGACAATATAGTCACCTGTTGAGACTCTCAAGGAACTACTGGGCAAAGTGATGGCATTGAAGAGCTTGAACCAGCATTTGAGCATGGCGGCAGCTGAATCTGACAAGGACTCTGGATATTCAGGTTTAGAAAATCACTGCATTCCTTTTGTGTGTTATCTTGCTCAGACTTTGCTTTTATTAGTCACATTTGACCAATCTGTCTCTTAGCCCCTTGTCATTTATGCCTCATTAACTGAGAGGGTCTTTCTGTATAAAACAGATTGCATCTGCAATCATCATACCATCAAACTGTTCTGGAGTAGAGCTTTGTGTAGTTATGAAGTTCTTTCTGTGAATTTGAATGGCATGGGAATTTAAAATGTGCCTAGTAAAGAAATGAAGACTCTTACACTTAGGAGTCTAGAAGTGGGGATGGCAAAATTACTTTTTTTTCTTTGCAGTGATGAATGAACTGTTGGATTATGCTGCCTAATCTCTGTTGTGATTTGACCAGAGAGTAATTTGTATAACATCAGTAAAATGTAGACACAATGTGCTGTTTTAATACTCAATAAAACTGTGAAGAGATGGCTTTTAAAGGAAAAACAAACAAAACAAAAAGAAACCCACAAAGAAAAAGAGCTTTTGTGAGAGATAGAAGATTTCAAGACACAAAATGCCTGCAGCACAGACTGGCTGTGCAGTGCTGGAGCCCATAGTTCTTTGCTGCACCATGTTTTAGAGCAATCTTCATGATACTGTGCAGTCATTTGGAGATTAAATATGAAATAACAAAAAGTAATAATTTTGAGGGGGGAGGAGACAGTATCTGCATGAGGACTAGCCTGATATATGAAGCCTTTTGTTAAAGGCTATTTGACAGCTGTCACAGCAGGTCTAATTTTATTGGTGTTCCAGAACTGAACTTTGTTGTTGTTTGTGTCTTGGTTGAAAGAAAGCAGAATAGTGGAACTGAAAGTTGGTAGCAAGCATGAAACAACTAACAGCTGAATTCTACATTTGGCAGATGGAAGTTCAGAGTGCCTGAGTGCTATGGAGCAGACTGACTCAGAGGACATGCTGAATGCGTCGTGTTGGAATGTAGAGGATGGGCCTTGGCAACGCCCAATGGCCGCAGGCAACCCCTTTCCTGCACTTTCTCCTATGGTTGTAATGAAAAATGTGTTAGTTAAGCAGGTAGGGAAGAAATAATCTCCTGAAAAATGTTGCATGTTCTTTATTGTAGTATTTTTCCTTTCTCAAATATTTTACAAAGTTGTTGGAATCCAGATAGCAGCTGGTAACTTGAAAAGTTCTATTGTGCCAGTTAGAATCACTAAGATGGAAAAAGTGAAATGGAGAAGCTCTGCTACATCTATTAAACCTTTTCCTCTTAAAGGGATCCCACAAAAAATAGATCTTTAAGAATGTTATGTTAATAGCACCAAAGAGTAAACGAAAAAAAGTGAGTGTTTTTCCTTTTGAAAGCTGGTATTTTCATTTTCATTCAGTAAAGATGATAAAATAGGATGATAGGTTTTGCTTCTTAGTTCTTACGGCCTAAATGTGCTTTATGTACAGTGGGAAATGCTAATCCAGGATGTTTACAAGTGAAAACATTAAATTTGTATCTGAAGGCATATTTTTACTTTATCAGTTATTTCTCTTAGCTCTGTGTGATAGCTCACACTGCAACAATTACATTCCCTATTTATGTATTCCAGTATCTTGTTACCTGTTGCCCTCCAGCACATCCCTAAGACTGGTAATGTTTACATCGTAACAGAAGATAGGAGAGCTGCAAGTTCAAAGTATTGCCGTGTTATTAGACCTCTTGCTGTGTACAAGTTTTCTGAGCAGAGGGAAAGTTCTTCAGCTTTTTTTTTTATTAGAATACATGTCAGAATACAGCGAGAAGAGGAAAAACAAATATATATCCTGATTCCTTTTCTACTGAATCTTTTATAACAACAAGTAAAACCTATAAAATTCAAATATAGTGTCACAATGCTGATATAAATATAGTTTTCTGTTAGTGCTTGGCAGATTGTGCATTTGTGGGGGAGATAAGACAGGCTGAGAAAGTTTGAGCTGTTCAGCCTGGAGAAGAGAAGGCTGCGTGGAGACCTCATAGCAGCCTTCCAGTATCTGAAGGGCACCTACAAGGGTGCCAGAGAAGGACTCTTCATCAGGGACTGTAGCAATAGGCCAAGGAGTAATGGGTTGAAACTTAAACGGAAGATTGAGGTTAGATCTAAGGAAGCAGTTCTTTACTGTGAGGTTGGTGAAGCACTGGAACAGGTTGCCCAAAGAAGTGGTAAATGCTCCATCTCTGGCAGTGTTCAAGGCCAGTTTGGACAGAGCCTTGGGTGATACTGTCTACTGTGAGGTGTGAGAGAGGTTGGAACTAGGTGATCTTTAAGGTCGTTTACAGCCTTAACCATTCTGTGGTTCTGATCTATGAGCTTTATTTTGGCAAGAAACAATTTTATAGTCATGTTCCTATATGTGTGGACAAAATACTGTATAAACAAATGCTGAAGTTTTTGTATAGCAGGGAGTAGACAAGCTTCACCAAAGGCTTATTGATAGCCTTTGGCCCATACCTCAAAAACACTGATTGCAGTGGTAGTCTAGTGTTAAACTCCAGGTTGTGTTGCAAACAGTTAGGACATGTAGCTGATACAAAGTAGCTTTTATATGTATATTTATATTAAAAATATATTAAAAATATTAAAAAACCTGGTAGTGTATCAAAAAGGAAATTTGGGAGTAAGAGTTGGAGATGGGTAAAATTACCAGACTCGGTTCTTTTGATAGTGCATTATAACTTCTGAGTCTTAATTACATATGGTTAAGGACAGTAATGTTGAACTGAAAAATGTTTGCTGCAATAAGCAAAAACAGTAAGGCCAGGTCAAAATAATAACAATGGAGTGTCTTTCTGCCTCTTTCCTTTATGCTTAGTTACCTCAGATGGTTATCTTGTTAAAATGGGCTTTTCAGCACAGCCCTGAGTTGGACTTGCTGGACAAAAAAAACAAACAAAACAAACAAAAAAGCCAGCATCCAGTTACTGCTATTTATCAGTTTCAGCCAGCATCATCCTTCTGCCTTAGAACCACTGTAATCCTGCGCAGTGGTGGTTACCTGCTGTCCCAGTTTCAGAGTGTAAACAGCTAACAATGTTATTAAAAAAATAAATCAAGCAGGGAAGCAGGGATTAATTCTCTGGAACACAGCGGGGCTTGTGGCACGGTTTCTGTAACTCTTTTGAAAGCCTTTTAGACAAGTTACGCTGGTATGTGCAGGATGTTAGCCTTCATTAAAAAAAAAACAAACCTCCCACGACACCCCAAAACCACCCAGACCCAACACTTCTCTACTGAAAATGAGATTTTGGGTAGGAGAGCAAGATCAGAATGCAGCATGAATGCAAAGAAGAAAGTAGGTAATAGACATAGGAGAAAACAGAACAAGATAAACAGCTACCACAGCTCTTCTAACTTCAATGACTTTAGGGCTCTGCTGTACTAGATGCTGCACAGTTGTGCAGTAAATGATTAATTCTGACTCCAAAACCATGCTTCTTAAGACTGCTTGTTCAGTCCTAGGTTTGTATAGCCACAGTATTTATATACTTCTAACATCTCGAGATTCTTTTCTTTTGAACGTGTTTGTCCTGTCTTCTGTGGCAAGGTAATATTTATTTTTACAGGTAGTTGTTTTGTACCCCTGTTCCGTAAGAGTCTTGCCAACTGAACCAAAGAAATTCTGTGTCAGAATAGGTGAACCTCATCTCCATAATAGCTGCTTGTGACAAGTTCAAGTCCTTTCCTGGGAGAAATGGTAGCATTTGCCAGTTTAAATTTTATGAGACTAGGGGAAAGGAGGTGCATTTCATGTGGCTCAATATAGTTCAAAACCCAGTAAAATGTATTTGCACTAAAAACTGTGCATTCAGCAGGCCTGCCTCTAGCATTCCAAGTCATAAGGAACTGGAAAAGCAGGTGGCAGTATATTATATTAATTGTGGTGGCAATGACTTAAATATATGAAGAAGTGAAATTTTGCTTCAGAAAGAAATGGTATCTCTTATTAGACCATTGTGTACGTTTGGAGAAAAGCAGGTATGCTTTTTGGCCAGGAGATCTCATGAAGATCCATGGTAATGTATTGAAAGAGGAAGAGATGGTGTCTTGTAGAAATTGATGTATTCTCCTATATTGCAGAGTGTGGCTTGTGGGAGAGAGTGAAAACTTGGGTATTTTTCTTAAAATATAATGCTTTTAAGGTTCACTAGTGTGCACTTTATCACCAGTGCTATGGAGTTAAACTGCTCGAGGGTTACAAAAGGCTTTTTTCCTTACATTGGTTGATATTCAGCTTTTTTTTTTTTTTCTTCTTCATGGTTTTAAATGTATTGAAACTGTTTTGTACTTAAGATTGCAAAACTTACTGAACAGCTGTCGTCTTTATTGAATAATGATTTCAAAAGCTTGCTATAAGAATAGAATTGACAAGATTAGAGTGCTGCCTTTCAACAAAGAGGGAGTCTGAATTGTTCCTAAAATGTCTGTACGGTCTTTCTTTGACTCTTTAAAAATATAACCACAATGCTTAATTCTTTTCCAACTTTTCTGTGCACTTGTTGTTTGAGCCCAAGTCTAGGTCAAACTTTTACATAAGCATTGTACAATATAAGCATGTACTGTAATCTTCATCTAGGAAAGCATGTATAAATTCAGATTGAATTGTTTTTAAATGTATCTGCTGTTCCACAGTAAAAGGATTATGGATGACAGCTTTGATTCTAGTGCTATGCTCTGTTGTCGGAGAAAGAGAAGGATGAGTTTGATGGAAAACTGTTCAGCATGTATTAATGGGACAGCATATATCAAATATGGAGAAATGGCACAGTCCACCTGTTTCATTTAAGGTTTTTTGATCCTTTTCTACAATTTTATTGTAAGACTTCTGTTTTTTCCCTGTTTATGCTTCTCAGGGGTGTTCATCACAGCTCCAGTCTTGGACTGTGCAGCCATCCTTTGAAGTGATTCCAGCTCAGCCACAGCTAGTCTTTCTTCGTCCATCAATCCCACCTCCCATAAACCCTCACCCTGTTGGGAAAAAGAGAAATGACTCCACTAATTACCTGCCCATCCTGAATTCTTTTCCCAAAATAGCACCACAGCCCTGCAAGAGAGATCGCTCCTTTGATCTAGAAGAATGTCAGGAAACCAGTTGCCCTAAACGACTCTGCACAGAAACACCCAAGATGGAGAGTTCTCCCGTATCAAGGAGCACAGGCATGCCTACTAGTCCTTTTGCCCACCTACCAGTTAGCTTTAAGACCCCTCAGGAGTCTAACCAGCAGAGTTCTTCAACTCTAGTGACAAGTGGAAAACTGTCAGCTCTTCCTGGTTTTCATCGTGTTTCTAGTGACACTCAGAAACTGCCGGGTTTGACTCCCCTTTTGCCTTTTGGGACTCTGCAGGCAACAAAGTGCACCTCTCCTGAGAGCGAGAGTGCAGCACAGACTACAATGCAGTCTGCAGTGTGGAGCCCCCCATTGATACCAGAAGAGATTTGCACTACCCCTGAGCTGCTCTTGCAACAGCAAAGCAAATGCAGACGCTTTCAGAACACACTTGTTGTCCTACGCAGGTCAGGATTGCTGGAGATCACTTTAAAAACCAAGGAGCTCATTCATCAGAACCAGGTGACTCAGGCTGAGCTGGACCGACTGAAGCATCAAACACAGCTTTTCATAGAGGCAATAAAGAACAATGCTCCACAGTCATGGGCAGAGCTAGAAGCATCTCTAACGGGATCTGATAAAGCTGATGGTAACCTTGCAGATCCCCCTTATCCCAATATATAGTAGCTATTGGTCAAGTTATTTTTGTGCCTCCTGTTTCCTGTCTCAAGCTTTTACTTGAGCATTTTCTGAGTCCAGGACTTGCAAAGTGACATGTCTTGAATGACTTGTCTTCAGAGCCAGCTGTGGGACTGGAACAGCCTGGTGGGGTCTTGACAAATGGGTGCTTACTACTATGGTGTGACCTTGAGCTACATGCTAACTTCATGTACTTCCTGGGGCTCTATCAGCTTGGATGTGCTTTGCTGGCATGTTCCCATTCTTGCCGTAAAGACAGTCATTTGCAGTATTTTGCAAGCAAATATCTTCCTGGTCCCCTCTTCAGATAGTCAGTTCTGAGGATGGAAAAGCACAACAGGCCCCAGTATTGGACCATTATCAGTTGCAATTAGATGAAAGGCGTTGGGGAGAGGAGAGGAAACTTAGGCTGGTGGGGTGATATTTTTAGGCTGTTGCTGTCCTTTGTTATAGCAGAGTCTTGTTTTGGGGGGTTTATTGCATTTGAATTAGCATTCTGTATTCATTGCAATCTTTGGTCAGTGTCATGAGTGTCTTAAGACCCAAGGGAAATGATGTGTTTTGATGAGTATACTTTTGATTCTGGTCTGTACAATTTGAATGAGTGAAAGTCACAAGGCTTGCACTGGAAGTGTTTGTTTTGTTCCAAAGCCATGTTTATTAATGGCTCACAAGTGTACAAGGAAAGTGGTTTGGATTTTCTCAGTGGCTAACAGATTAAACATTGTTATTAAAGACTGCAGTAACTTCTTTTTAGAATAGCACAAGGAAGATATTCACCGGGATTAATTCAGCAAGACTAGTTGCATATTATTTGATATGTGTATCCTTAGTTTACAAGCATAAACTGTTCCTTTTTTTTTCTTTCTTGTGAAATCAGATAACTAACTATTAAAAAAAAAAAAGAGTTGAAAGGAAAAGGAGCATAAATGGCCTGTGATGAAACAAGTCCTTCTCCCATCCCCTTTCTCTTTTTTTTGTTTAGAGAAATTAGATGAATGTACTGGGGGATGGGGATGTCAGGTTGGCTAATCTCCCAAAAAAAATTTATCTACCTTGAATTTGAACATAAAAAAACCTCAGCAATCCCAAACCAAGAACAAAATCCCAAAACATTTTTTCTTCTGAGTAGGTTTGTATCATTCCTAGCCTGCTTGCCTTGAGATACAGCTAACACTACTGTCTGCATAAGGTATTAGGCCTGACTAGTAGAGATCCACAGTAGTCATGTTACAGAAGTTGTTCTACAGACATTTATTTTCAGTTTATCTAGACACTTAACTATGTCACTCCCTCCAGTCTGAAGGGCTTTTTTCAGAGGCAGTCTGTGTAAAGAACTAAGAATGACTTCGTCTAAGAACATTAAGGACTCTGGATTGTTTATGGTGTGTTCCTTTCTGTCTGACAACATTTTCAAAAAGTCATGCTGACTCGGTGACTGGGTATTTTGATGCTTTGATCACTGCTGTTATCTCTTTCAGGTTCTTAAAAAAAAGAAACTTGAAAGTGAGGTGGATGTCTTGCTGATTTGTGACAAGTCCTTTCCATTTTCTGATGCCTCTCGGAATCGATATTGCAGAAGATTGTGTAGAGTGCTTTTGTAGTCTTCCTCAAATACATGCATTAGAGAAATTGTAAGGGAATTCTCTCTTTTAAGGGGTTTTCCTCTTTTTACATTGATGGAAAGAAATGCTGTACATGCCTCACAAAGAGGAGAAATCTGAGTCATATTTGTACTGTCCATAGTAAAGTTTTGTCCATAGGCCTAGAGAGAAATACTGTGCCAGGATTCAGCCTAGTGGAGCTATGCCTTGCCAGGTGTCCTGCCCACCTGCTCAAGACTAGTGCACTAGGTGGGAATTGATTGAAAGAAAAGTGTTCACAGACTGTGTTGTCATGTATTTTTTTAAATATACATGCTGTAGTTGTGCATACCAGGATTTCTCATAAATTGCAGCACAGCAATAGCAAAACTCAGCCAGCAAACCTAGAAGGCAGGATAATACAGTGCAATAATGTAGGTCATGTCTGATGTAGCTTCTTTGGAATCAGTTGTGATACCTGCACTGAATAATATTTGGCAGGATAGATGTGATGGTACCTTAGGCCATTTGTGAAAGAATCCCAAAAAATAAGCTTGATTTTTCTGAGCTTACAGGAAGGAGAGGAAGCAGTAGCAGGGAATTCTATTGATTGGATACCTGTATGTGCCTAGAGGTGAGATGTGAGAAAATACATAGGATATCTTTCCTACTTTTCCTAAAATTCTTATTCTACCCATCAAATAGGAGAATTTGAAGTTCAAAATATATATATTTTAGGAATTGATTGTCCTAGAAAACAAGATGATAGGCTACCTAAAATGAAAGCAAGTCAGAAAAAAAGTACAGTCTTAGCTGTTTGAGATAAGAAAAAGTGGGTCTGCTGGTGACGTCCATCCTATTTCCACTGTTCTGACAGAGTAAGAGGAAGGAAATGCTAGCCTTGCAGTGTAATACTTTTTGACTTAAGGAGACTATAGCTGATAGAAATGTCTCATAGTCAACACAGAATCGCATATATTTTTTTGCCTGACAGCACTGAGGGTGGGCTGATGCGGGTGTGCTTATAGCTGATGAGCCTTTCAGCTGGTATAATTTGCATAAATACCTATTCAATAAATCTGTGACTAGAGTTCAGCAGCTGGTTAGAAATCTCCTACTGGGCATCAGTCCAGACTTAAATAGTATTTGCTGAACTAGAAAAATACACTCTGGAACTATTACATGTAAATCTGGAGCCCCTTAGGAACCGTATCTCTAGATAACTGCAAATCTTGACGCAACATCTATGAAAAAAGGATGTTGAAGACCCCTAGTGATAAGTAATGTCATCAAGTACCATTCTGTTTAGATTCTCTTAGCTGCCTTTATTCCTGGAAGCCCTGATAAACCTTTAAACAATAAGGGCTTTCCTTTCTTAGCTGCAATTTAATAAAATAGGTTAGCTTGGAACTGTGCTGAGAAAATTAATTGACTGCATCAGGACCAGAACAGGTCTTTATTCTGGGTAGGATGATTTGAGCAGAAACATTAGCTTCTCTGATTGGAAACCTGTAAGCAGTGAGCCTACGGATAATTTTTTTGACCTTTGAAGCAGCAAAACTTTGCATTAACAAATTAGTTGAAGACAGCAGGCCCAGTCTAAAAAATCAGTCAGATGGCCTGCTGTGGCTTCGGTTGTTGCTGACACCTAGCAGGCAGGGTAGGTTGATGGTTCAGACAGACTGCAGTTTTTCTATTGTTTTAATAAATGTTGGTATTTTTGATTACTATGTACTTTTGAAATTCTACTGCTCTAGTTGGAATGTAAACATTTTCTGTAATTTTGAAGTCTGTTGCCAGCTCTGAATGCAGTAGCCTACTCTGTTATAGAACATGACCTTTTTGCTAAAACTTTACAGAAGCAGACTGTGAAATATGAACGAAATAAAATCTATACTTGAAAAGTTTGTGGGTTATTTTAGTGCTGTTAAACGGCAAAGTCCTTTGTTCGGAAGCTTGCTTGGCAGCCTGTTGCCCATGTAGGAAAGTGCCGATCCAAAAGTGGTACTATGATTTCTCTCTCCAAAGAGAGTCACATGAGCTTTAACACTATGTTATGAATTAAAGGGACTGTGGGAGGAGCATGAGTAAAAGTGGGCTGTACAGAACTCTAAAAATATATTGTCATGGGTGACCATTGCCATAGATGTGTCATGAACAACCTGGAAAGATTTTTCCACCTCGGAACTGTTATCTCTATGTGATGACTGTACATTATGCTCACCGTCTGTGCGGGTGAACTCCTACACTGCATATTAATCTTGTCAGCTGTGTATGCACAAGTTCTAAATTGTGAAGTAAGGATCTTTTTACTCTCTCTCTTGAAGAACATTCTTTAACTCAATCTGTATACCAGCTTTTCACCAAAGCACGTTTTTCAAAATGTGGCCATCTTTACGGTCTTTTCTTTGTTCAGAGATGACTCTTACAGTGAGAACTAGGCAGTCATGCTCAGGCTATCCAGCAGCCTTGTGACATGAGATCATTTCCTAAGGTACAAGAGATTCTGGTCAAAGTTCTTATGTGGCACCAGACAAGGCAATAATTTGAATCTCATTGCTTTAAATCCAAAAAGGGGTGCTGTCAATTGAAGTAATTTTATTCCCCAAGACTGAAAACTCAGTGCTTGCAAATTTTGTGTTATTAAAAGGTATGGGTACAACTGAAGCAGGAAATTTTCAGGTCTCTGTCCATTCTGGCTAGCTTTTTTTTTACATGATGAAGTCTATCTGCAGGATGTCAGGCCTGTTCACCTTCATTTCATTGAGGCCAAAAACATTAGTTGCTTTTTTCAGGTGCACTGCATCTGTCTTGTTTTTCTTTCTCATGACACACAAAGAGCCTGAAAGGAGCAGGACCCTCACAGGCTTGGGCTGAGCAGTCTTCTGGCATGAAAAATTTCTGGCATCCACGAGGTTGAAGGCAGCATGCTGTTACTGCTTTTGTTCTCATAATTCCTGGGACAGAAATGTGGGTTCCCTACCTACACAACTGTTCACTCTTGCTGTTTCTAGGTAGTATTTCTTTTTGGGCCTCTGTGAAACACAGCCATATAGCCCCAAGTGTATTACGTGGTCCAGAGTGACCAAAATACAATTTTTCTTCCTTTCTTAAATCTGTGCTTCCTTTGAGGTATGTCTGTGAGATAAACTAAGTGTTTCAGTATAATCTATTCAGAAGGCAGAAGGGAACACCATGTGTTCAGTCTGCTCTCTTGTAGAGCACAGTTTCCAAGACTTCCTCAAATTCCTGTTTGAACTGAAGTGTGTTTTTAGAGGAAGCATCCTGCTTTGATTTGAAAGCTCCTAGTGATGAAGAATCCACCCAAATTGTTCAAAACATAATTACTTACTGTTAAAAATCTGCCTCTTACATAGAGCCTGAATTTGTTGTCTTTCAGTATCCAGCTGTCAGATCTTTTGCCTTTTGTCTGCTAAACTGAAGCTCATGCTGTGACATTGCTGGTTTCATTGTAGGCATTTACAAACTGAACAAGTCAATCGTCAGCTTTCTTTTTTAAAGTAACCGATTAAGCTGTCAAATATTTGAATCCTTTATTCATCTGTGGCACTCTTCTTTGGATCCTTTAAAATTATTTAAATTAATTTTTAATTGGAACAGTAACTTTAATAGCAAAACAGGATTGCTAGAAGAGTTGTCCAGTATCAACCCTCCCTACTGCTATTCTGCCTAATTTTCATTGCAGCCTTGACCATGGCATCTGATTGAAAGTTTGCTTCTGTTGCTTCTGCAGTTGGCGAACTGTCCTTTAAATGTGTTTCCGCACTCCTTTGAATGTAGTTTGCGGCCAGAAAGCAAAACAAATTATTTTAATAAGTGACCAATTGCATTTATTAGTTACCTCTGCTTCTCTCCTCAAAACTTTTTTGTCTTCAGATTTTGAAGGTAATTTTGCATTGTATTCTAATTATTAAAAATAATGTTAAATAATGCCAGTTTCATACCATTTTCAAGGTAAGAGTAGAAGGCAGTGCTTAATAGATCTCTCTATACAATTCAGAAAGCATAACGCATTTCATAGCATCCATTTGATTTGTATAATTCTGGCTTCAGTCTGTGTCATGGGGCACACTGTTAAATGCTCAACAGAAGTAAAATGTTGTATCTTTGTTGGCTTTGTCCTTTACCAATTTTTAATTCTTGCTCATCAAAATAAGGTGTTCGTTTTACTTGACCAGCTCTATTTCTTATAAGCTTTATCACTTCTAATTTTTTTTTTGCTTTATAGGTCCTTGATTAATCACAAATTATGGGTTATTCCACTACTTTCTCTCAGGTGTCCAGCCTTTGTTCATTCAGATCAGTTTACCTACCCACTGAAAAGCTGATGCCTTGTTAATTCTTTCATCCCCTCAGCCTTCTGAAATCTTTCCTAGTGGTCTAAAATTCATTGAAGTAGTATTGATGGTCCAGAGAGCTTGTTGGTTAGTACCTGTTACATTTTCTATCACAACTTATTCAGACTTGCTGACTTTAAAATGGCTAATAACTGTTGTTTCAAATGTCCTGAATTACTTTTTGAAGTGGAAATCAAGCTGTTGTCATGAATGCAAGGAATATATCTGGCTTTTTTCTAATTGCTCAACAAAAAATTTTGTGAAATGCTTTTGCCATTCTGCACTGCAGCAATGTAATTTCCATCTTGAACTGAAGCACTGCCAGTGGAAAGATTTCTTCTGCATCTTGTGCATTTTAAGAAATGGAGGAAGTGGGCTTTCCAGGGCCAAAAGGGGAGTTTCATCAGCTTCTTCATTGTTTTCTTCTTGTTCTTACTGCAATTAAATTAATTGAGTTAGTCTAATGGAACTGGAATGCCTCTTACCATGCCCACTTAGGCAGTCTTACCTTTTTTTCATCGCAATAGTACGGGGTTTTTTTAGGCCACTTATAGTTACCAAGACTAAGAAATCCAATAACAGACAGAAAACCAATCCTTATTGTTTTTTAAGAGATAGGACTGCTTGAAAAATTTATGTGTTTTCAATGGAAAAGTCCTGTGTTTTTATTGGAAATGAAAATGTATTTTGGCTGGCAGCTTAGTCTTTTGCAGCATTAGTCATAGCATTCATTTTTCAGTGAATCTCAAGCACTATGGAAATAGTGTGGACTGTGGAAGTGGGGGAAGATGTTGTTTCTCTTTACCCTCATCCCCTTCTCCCGGATTGTTTTGGGTTGCCTCTACAGGAAGTAGTACCCCAACTTTGATGAGTGGTTCCATCACCTCATGCTGGAGAACAGAAGCCTGCATAGACAGCCAGAACTGCTCAGTTCTCTACAATGGATGAGACTAATAGAGAGCTCCTGGGTAAGTGAGGATGAAACAGCATCTCCTGAGAAAATTGCTAGCTTAAAGAGTACAAATACCATTTTTTCATCATATCCCTAAAAGTTCTAATTAAAAAAAGAAAAAAAAAGGTTTTTGTTTGCTGCAAAACATGGCTATGCCAGATAGGCCTTGCTCTACATTTGCCAGAGGAAGAGTTCAATGCAGCGAATATTTTGTGAGATGAGCAGTGTTTCATGTGGAAAGTGTGAAATATGAGTAGACAGTAGGAAAGCTGTTTTACCCAGAGTGAATGTTAGCAATGCCCATTGTTTTGTATTCTTGCTAAGCATAGTCTCCCATGCAAATGATAATGCTATGCAAAGTGTCCAAACATGCTTGGAAGCCAGAATAAGATACTCTTCATCAAAGTGAAATTGCCTCTCACTTTTCGACATCCTATTGCTGACCATGCTTGCAGCACACTTTCTGAGAAGATCTGACAGTGTGTTGCTGACCTCAATTGTGTGAGAAATGGCCAGAAAGAATTCTGAAACATTTATTTCCACACTAATTGTGCAAGGAAGGCAAGTCTGAGCTTGAAGATAATAATAATGAAATGCCTCCAGATGTGTAATAGGAGCTGCAGCCAGCCTGAACTGGAACAGAGCAGAGTGGTGAACTGCACTGAGGGTCTATTGCTGTAGCACTTATGATCTGCAATGGCAGCACTTGGGTAGAGACTTGTAGTAGAGGCATGCCAATGGCCCTGACTGGTTTCTAGCAGTTCAGAATCAAGCTGGACAGCTCAGACATGTGCCTCAAAGCTAAACGCAAAGGATCTATTCTTTTGAAAGGCTGGTATGCAAATATAAAACTGGCCTGCACATTGAAATTGTTACCCTGTTCATTTTTTCTGCAGCCAAACTTAAACCAGCTGTGTTACATGAACTGCCTCTGCCTGATCCTGGAGCCAGCAAGGTTATGGAAAGCATTATTGCAGTTTCTAAGGCTTGCTTTTTTTTCAAATTCCACTGCTTCTCCAGCACCTAAACACCTACCAGACTGAGACACTACTGTCATTGCGTGCAAAAGGGGTTAGTTTATCAGTGAGCTTAGTTGGGTGAGTGGAAGCAGGTGAATGCCAATAGAATAAAAATCCTGAATTCCTGAGGGCAAGATTACCCCCGATATAATGTTTCCTGTTCCATGTCATGATAAGCTCTGTTATCCACGTGTGAAAACCTTAGAGGAATACCTGCATGCTTGCTTCATCTCGCTGTTCTGGCACTTGGTTCAGTAACAAACAAGCACTCAGTAGTCCTGCAAATATTCACTATTATCTTAAACAATAATGACAGTAACAGTAACAGGCCACTGCCTGCATCTTACATTAGTATGGGGAAGGGAGGAAAACACCCAGTTTTTCACCACAGCTTAGCTGAAGTTTAGGCATGCTTTTGTAATTTCTTCACATCCTGTTCTAATGCAAGGTCAGTCCTTAGCACATCATTTTTCAGTAAATGGACTACTGCATCCATTTAAATTCCCTTCAGAATATAAATGTGACTAAAATAAGTCTCTGTCTGCCTGAAACTGTTTCTGTTTGGGATGCTAACAAAT